AAATTCTTCTTCTTCTATTTGAATTTTAATGGCGGTTGGCAAGAAACTTTAGGTATGCATTACCGCCACCAACTGGTAAGGAGTGTGGACCACATGACAAAAAACAAACAAAAATAAATAAATAAATAAATAAAAATAAATAAATAAATAAATAAATAAATATTACTATATCCTATTAAACAACTTACACTGTTTTAAGAAATAAAATAAGGCCTCATATCCTCTACTTCCTGAATCTTTTTGTAATAAATCAACAATATCAAATTTCATTTTCATGCTACTAAGGTTTCTAATTAAGTTATTTCTTTGCATCAAATAATTCCTACAACTGAAAATAACATGTTCCAATGTCTCATCTTCCCCACAGTCACATTTCCCTGTCTGATGTTTCCCTATTAGAAATAATGATCTATTTAGTCCAGTATGTCCGATTCTAAACCGTGAAATAATTATCTCTTCTCTTCTTATTCTTTCTGTTCTTCTCATTTGACCAATATTCTTTTGAATTTTATATAACCACCTTCCTTTCTTTTCTTCATCCCATAACTTTTGCCACCTCTCTCTTGTTTTTTTTTTAATTGTACCCTTTATTTCTGTTATACTAAAACTAACATTAATATCTATCTTCACCCGGTTAGTACTCTCTTTGGCCATTCTGTCTGCCATTTCATTACCCTTAATCCCGTGATGTGCTGGAACCCAAACAAAATTTACTGTTAGCCCCATCATATTGATTCTGTAAAGTGTTTGTTGTATTTCAATTAATATATCTGGTCTACTATCTGATTTATTATTTTGCAAACTAAATAATGAAGAACTAGAATCTGAACAAATAATTGATTTTAATGGTCTTACCTCTTCCACCCACTGAACTGCTAAAAGTAAAGCAAGCATTTCTCCTGTATACACTGAAACTCCATCACTGATCCTTTTTCCTACTTTAATCTGAAACTGTGGTACAATAAATGCTATCCCTACCTTATTAGCTGTATTTTTTGATGCATCTGTGTAGATTTGTACATAGTTACAATATTCATTTAAGTATTCTTGTATTATATTACTATTCATATTGCTAAATTTATCTTTATTGCTCTTTTCTAAGACGGAAAAATCAACCTCAGTATCATGAATTAACCAAGGTGGAACTGCAGATAATGGAACTGCCTGACATATATCTAACTGATTTAAATTAATTTCATTAACTTTAGAGTTTATTATCCATCCAAAGCTCTTTAATTGTTTCTTTGAATTTTCCCAGCCATGTTTAAGTACCTCTAATGTTGGATGATCCTGACTTTGTCCCTGTAAGTTTGACCAATAATTTAAGGATAATTGATCCCTTCTAAGTTTAAGAGGCATTTCTCCCATTTCAACCTGTAATGCTGCTGTTGAAGATGTTTTAAAAGCACCGGTACATAATCTTAATGCCTGATGTTGAATAATATTTAACTTATGGAGGTTTGAATCTGCTGCTGAATTATAAACTATACATCCATAATCCAAGACTGACCTAATTAACCCAGTATAAATTGCTTTTAATGATTTTCCATCAGCTCCCCGCTCTGTTCCAACTAAACACCTCGTTATATTTAATACTTTCCTACACGTATCTACTATTTTCTTAATATGCATTCCCCATGTCATTCTTTCATCAAACCACATTCCAAGAAATTTAAATTGTTTAAATCTTTCTAAATCCTGTCCATATAATTTTAATTTAGTTTTTCCATCAACTCTTTTCCTTGTAAAAAACATTTTAGTTTTCTCTACAGAAAGTTTAAAACCCCATTTATACGACAATTGTTCTACAGCTGAAATTGCTCCCTGAAGCTTTTTAACAATAAATTCTAAATTTCTTCCTCTTTTCCACATTGCTCCATCATCAGCAAAAAGTGAAAATCCCATTCCACCCTCTACTTCTTTAAACATATCATTAACTACCACTGAAAACAATAATGGACTTACTATACTACCCTGTGG